GGACAGGTGAGAAAACTGACATTCAGGTGGTCACGTGCAGTGACTCGGTGGAGAAGCAGTGGCCTGAAATGAGGACATATCACCCTAGACTCCCACTCAATGCCATTCACATCTGAATGGGCCAGTGCATTAATAGCTGATCAGTATCTGTCCAGAACTTTCAGTCTGAAACACAACTTTTTACCTTCATGGGACTGAACTCAGTTTGATGGTACTAACGTTGGTTTGGGGGTCTGGAATGATTGCTGGTGGGACAGAGAGGAGACAACCTTAATGAGCCATTAAGGTTGATGTGAAGAAAGAGGTAAATGCATGGGATTGGAACCTGTGGGAGATGAAGGAAAGGAGACAAAAGACAGGAGGCAAAGCAACGTGAAGAAAAGCAAGGCTCTGCAGAGGATAACACATATGGTGACTGTGAAAGAAATGAGGAAATCTCTTTGTGAAGCCACTAAAAAGGAGGAATAAGAAAGAAAACCAAATGGAGGGTCAAGCACATCTGTGACTGAGAAGCAAAAACTCATTAACACTACCACAAAATCCCTGCCCACTGGGCTGTGGGTGTTTAGATGAATGTGTTGCTAGAACTGAATACCCAGAGTTATTGGGGACCCTCAGGTGAACCCCTAAGAATTTTCATCCTTACCAAAGTCACTTTTAAAATTAAAACCTAATCCTAATGGCACAGACAAAACACAGGTTTAACTGGTGGCAGCTGATGAAAAACAGATAAAAGAATTAGAACAGATTCCCTGACTCTGTAGTTCTTCTCTGGAGCCAGAGTCCTTTACCTGGGGTTTACAGACCCCCAAGCTGTTCATGGAGAGATATCATGGAGCACAAGCATTTGAATGGGGTGGAGGAACTTCCATCTTTATTTTCACTCACTTCTAACTAAAGAAACCAGTACCTTCTACTGTGAATGTAGGGAGGGAACCACAGGAGTGATTTCCACTGGAACTATGACTTTGTCACCGGTAGATAATACACTCAACTTGATGACCAACCTGTAAAGAGCTCACTGTATTTCTCATTTCAAGTAAAATAAATTTTAGGCTTACTCTAAAATGCATTTGGAGCAAAGATACACACTCTAAAACTGTGCTTCTTTAACTTGACCATGTAACAAGTCGCCTGGGAATCCTATTAAAATGCAAATCGTGATTTAGCAGGTCTGTGTTGGGACCTGAGACTGTGCATGTCTAACACACTCCTAGGTGATTCATGGCCCACACTTTGAGTAACCAGATTGTAGAGTTATTTAGAGGTGGAGCTCTAGGGACACAGATTCTTTTTTTTTTTTTTGGACAGAAGTGAGTCTACAGAGCTGGTGTGCATTTTACATCTCCTATGATGATATGAACAATTACCTCAGAAATATCCTCTAGGTGCTTATAAATTGATAGTCTTAGGCAAATATGAGCTTTCATATCCATTTTTTCTGCCTTTATTATTTCATTTCTTAGAAGTGTTTATTATATGTATCCCCTGAGTGTGTGGTGACAGTGTTTTATTCACTTTCATCTCCCATGTCTATCAGAATGTTGTACAAATATTAAGTTTTCAATAAACTTTTGACAGGGAGTTTATGGATGCCATGCTTTATATTTCTTGAACTGTGGATGCTGGCATTTGAAATGCATAATCCTTAACCAAAGCACGTTGGCATTTAATCCCCAAAGCAATTTGGGGAGATGAAATACTGTCGGCTTAATTTTCCTCATCACCCAACTACTCCTTTTAACCTGGGGCTTACTTCTTTTTAAATTACACTTCGGTTTGTCTAATTTAGCCTGGGAGGCCTGTTCATTATTTAGAACCACCAGCAAAGATGGAACTAACACTTCTGGATGCCTTTCCATCAAAAGATTTCTTGACAGAACAATCTCTGGTCCTTAGAAATGGAGCCGGTAGGATCTCTGGCACACATGTCACAGCTGAAGGCAGGTAGTGAAAATTGTAAATGCTTCCAAATGGCCATAAAATAAACATTGTGTGGTTCTAATCCCAAGATATTCATGCCAGTATAGGCATGTGTAACAGGCATTAGGGCTTTATCTGAAACCCAAATCCATAATCACAGTGGTGCAGGGGTAAACACTTGGAGTAGGCGACTTGCATTTGGCCTGAAAGGGCCAGGCTGGCTTGGGCATGTATTTATGCCTCTGAACAGTCTTCAAAACTTTTACAATGTATACTCATATTCCTTCTTAGGGATAGGGGACTGGAAGGGCATATGGTGGAGTTGCCACCTCTAGTAAGATTTCTACCACCTCCCTAGCTCCTCAAGCACAATTTTCCCACCTACAAGCTCAGCTGGTTTTCCTCAATTCCCAACCAGCCTTCTCCTCCAAGAGAAAAGCTCCTGAGCTGCTTTTTACACCCTCATCAGTGGGAGTCCATATAGTGCCTCATGCTCAGGCATTGCTCCTGGGATGTGTAGGTTTTGCACAACTTTCCTGTGATTTCTGTACCCTATTTCTGCAGCTCAAATCTCCCCAAGAGGTCTTCTCGGGATGTTTTGGCTTCTGTTTTCATCTGTACTCTTAATTCCTCTTTCAGGAATCTCCTGCTGAATACTGGGCTTCCCTCTCACTCTGCCACCTCTCTTCTGAATTGCCATGTGTCTTTCCTCAAGGAATGGGTCTTGCCCTTTGGGGCCCTGGGGAAACTCCAGATTATTGTTGGTGATATGGTTTGGCTGTGTCCCCACCCAAATCTCATCTTGAATTCCCATGTGTTCTGGGAGAAACATGGAGGGAGGTGACTGAATCATGGGGGTAAATCTTTCCTGTGCTGTTCTCATGATAGTAAATAAGTCTCATGGAGCTAATGGTTTTAAAAAGAGACATTTCCCTACACAAGTTATCTTTCTTGCCTGCTGCCATCCATGTAAGACATGACTGGCTCCTCCTTGCCTTCCACGATAATTGTGAGGCTTCCCTAGCCATGTGGAACTGTAAGTCCAATTAAACCTCTTTCTTTTGTAAATTGCCCAGTCTCAGGTATGTCTTTATCAGAAGTGTGAAAACAAACTAATATTGCGATTTCCAGAATTCTTCCTTTATTTTTGAGATGGAGTCTTGCTATGTCACCCAGGCTGGAGTGTAATGGTGCAATCTTGGCTCAACTTCTGCCTCCTGGGTTTGTGCCTCAGCCTCCTGAGTAGCTGGGATTACAGGCGCCCACCACCATGCCTGGCTAATTTTTGTATTTTTAGTAGAGACAAGATTTCATTATGTTTCTCAGGCTGGTCTTGACCTCAGGTGATCCACCCACCTTGGCCTCCCAAAGTTCTGGGATTATAGGTATGAGCCACCGCTCCTGGCCAGGATGTTCAGAGTTCTAAGCAACATTTGCCCTGTTAGTAAACTTGAGTCATCTGCTGGAGACCCCAGGACTCCTTAACCCCTTGGGCTGCTGTTGGCCTGAATTGTTCTTTGGGACTGCTCTTTCCTGGGACACTACTTCCCATAATATACTGGGAAGCACAGCCCCAGAGTGGTTCTTGTGGAATTTTCTTTAGATCACATCAGTCTTCTCTTCAAAAGCTTCCAACAGCTCCCACCTGATTTTCAGTGAAAACACAGAGGACGAAAGATCCAAAAGGTCTGTCTCCTACCTGAAAAGTCCCATCTGTCTGACCTGATGCCTATAACCCTCCTTAAGCAGAGCCACCCTGCTGTTCCCCCAACATTTAGGCCCATTATTGCCCATTAAAAATTACTTTGACTTTCTCAGGTCTGTCAAGGCAATCCTCCTTGTGCCAGATCCAACCCTTGCTCAGCCATTCTTTCACTGCTTCCATCTTATTTCAGTTGTTCACAAGCAAGGCAACCCCTCGAAATCATGTGGAGCTTGTTGAAAAGCAAATCATGAGCCTCACGTTTAGGTATTGGGCAGGAGTTCTTGAAGTCTGGTCTTAGGACCAGAAATAGGAAAACACCAGCCCTACAAGAGATCTGTTGGAAATTTAAGGTAGGCCCTAAACATCACTTTAACAACCTCTCCAGGTGATTCTGATGCATGGTCAAGTTGAGAATAACTAGCCCAGTTAGAATTTGATTTTCAATAAGCAACTCATGCGATTTTGATGTACTCATTGTATATAGTCACTGGGGAATCAGTACTAGAACAAGAGCATTACACCGAATCACCCATTATACAGTGACAGCTAAATCATCTGCAGGTTTCCAACCCTACAAGCTGAAGCAGCTCAGAATTCTCTTATATGCACAGATCCTCAGCAAAGAAACAGGCAGTTTATACAAATATCTCTTAAAACCCATTTCTTCTGGATACTCTACCTTAATTTCTATCAAGCTTACTTATTTTTTCGGTTTTGATATAAGCTTGTTTTCAAGGATATTTTATTCCTAATTTTATTTAATCTACCCATCACCAAATATTTATTGTGTCCCTACTATGTATCAAGGAATCAACAATAGAGAGAATGTCTCAATTCATGAGAAAACATTTTGGAAGCAAAACTGATTATCAATGGTGAGGATGGCATTTCCTTTCATAGGGAGCCTTATGAACTGGGTAGCCAAAATTCCATGTTGGCCACTTAGGTACTGACTTTTTTAACTATAGGAGAATGGATTGTATATATTTTTTTTAGTTCTTGCATAGCCCAGTGCTACCAAAAAAAAAGAAAGAAAAAAAGGGAAAATTCTTTTGCAACATGTTCTTAATTTCTTAAACAGAGTTAAGTGTTTTCCGTTTCCTTGTGAGATTTCAAAGATTCCCAAAAGCAATTATAAACTCAAAACAAGTTAGTGAAAATAAAAATAATAAAATATAGCCTTATTGGCAGAAGACAGAGGAGCTTGGTAAAGATGCTAAAATGGTGGGGATTATAAAAATATTAGTGTGGTGGACACCATGTCACCTAAACAATCTCTCAAGTCAGTACCAGTCACACCCGCCCTACGTCCTTTTAGTTATCCAAAAGTATCCAAAGTTGCACAAATATAAATCATGTTTCTCAGGCTTACCAGTTTAATATGTTCTCGCTTCTGGTATTTTTCACTATAATACTGTTCTTGCCGAAGATTAAGCAGCTGCTGCTGCTGTTTGTCCTTCAAGTCAATTAACTTTTGGGTCATTTCAGCATCCAGGGCAGCGAGGTCTTGCTCAATTGTTGACGAACCATGATCAGGGCTGCTGGGTTCTGATCTGCAAAGACACAGAGCTTGACTCGCAAGACAGGCAGGCCATAACTAGGTGGAGGGAAGGTTATTCACCTGAGTTCTTCCTAGAGAAAGTTCTCTGTTTGGCCGGGCGTGGTAGCTCATGCCTGTAATCCCAGCACTTTGGGAGGCTGAGGTGGGCGGATCATGAGGTCTGGAGTTCAAGACCAGCCTGGCCAACATGGAGAAACCCCGCCTTTAGTAAAAGAAATGCAAAAATTAGCTGGGTATGGTGGCAAGCATCTGTAGTTCCAGCTACTCAGGAGGTGGAGGCAGAAGAATCACTTGAATCTGAGAAGTGGAGGTTGCAGTGAACTGAGATTGGGCCACTGCCCTCCAGCCCGGGCAATAGAGCGAGACTCTGTCTAACAAAAAAGAAAGTTCTCTGGAAATACGTATTTTCATAAGCCACTTGGAGAAGTGGGTGAAACTCCATGGACACTTAGCAAGAGTGTCTCCAGTTCTAGAGGGTAAATGGAATTCGTGTTGCTCTAGAAAGAGGCAGGGGCAGAAAGAAAAGCAAAGAGTCTGGGGGCCCTAGGCATGGCAGTGGTAAGAATAATAATCCCCCTTTGGGAAAAACAGTGTCTAATAAACTTTCAGGTTTTAATCTTTTTAATTATTTTAAAATATGACAAGTGTAATATCATTCCCAGTAACCTTTCCCATATGAAAACTTCAGAAGACACTGCACTGAGTAGACTTTGTTAGAGGAAGCTAAAGATGTGCCCTGTTTAGCATCAGGGATGATGATTATAAATGGAGAGCACATGTAGATGCCATGGACAGATAACCCTCCTGACTGACATCTGAGTTCTATTTCTTAATACTTTTTTTTGAGACAGAGTCTCATTCTGTCATCCAAGCTGGAGTGCAGTGGTGTAATCTCGGCTCACTGCAACTTCCACCTCCCAGGTTTGAGTGATTCTCCTGCCTTAGGCTCCTCAGCAGCTGAAACTACAGGCATGTGCCACCACATCTGCCTAATTTTTGTATTTTTAGTAGAGATGGGGTTTCATCATGTTGGCCAGCATGGTCTCAAACTCCTGACCTCAAGTGATCTGCCCGTCTCGGCCTCCTGAAGTGCTGGGATTACAGGCATGAGCCACTGTGCCCGGCCTCTTAAGACGATTTTAACAGCAAAGACACACAATGAAAATAAGACTTGGAGGCTTCATTAACTTCATTGACATCTTTACCCAAATGGCATTTTCCATACGATGCTTACAAGAAGGGAAAGATGCATTAATACATTCTAAAATACTTAGAATGCTTCCTCTGAGCAGCATGACTTTCTCTGCCTTGCTCTTAGAGAATCACAGATATTTAGAAGGTTAGGATGAATATCAAAATAAATTAAACCAATTCTCATTAACTTATGGTATGATTCTTTCCAATTTTGTGCTCTGAACTATCACCTGCAGGAAACGATGGGAAGACCGAGCATTGGGAACAGGGTACAAAGAGTAGGTATGCTCTTTTCATTTACATGGAATCCCTTCCAGAAGGAAGACTAAACCACCACCTAAGACATCCAACACATCAGACTCTGCCTCCATAGTTTTCACTTGTGGTCCGATGGGCCAGCTAAAGCTTCTTAGAATCAGCTGTCACTAATTCTGGTTGCTTTTTCTATGAATTGCGCCAGTATCAGTGGCATCACATGGAGAAGGGAGTTGGTTGAAGCTGGTGTTAGAATTTGATTTTGTCAAATAAGGGATGCAGAATTCTCTCAAGTTTCTTTTTCTATATTTATGTGTAATGCCAAATGAAGACGAACATTCTACAAGGCTCCTCACTGCAGTGTTGGCATGACACAGGTTACTTTGAATTATCTTATGTGGCAGGAAGTCATTGTAGCCAGAGCATAAAGGCATTTCTTCAATCAGTTCCAACCACCCCAACAGAGGCAGCTCTCATTACTGACCACCCATCATGTGCTAGGCACACTCATAATTTAGTAAGTCAGTCTACCCATCTCCAGTTTACATTTGAGGAAACGGGGCTCTGTGAGATAATTGGCCAAGGACACAGCATGAGGGAGCAGTACTGCAACTTGCCCAAGGTCAAATATTACAGGGCAGAAGAGCAACACCTGTGCTCTTAAGAGCAACACAGCATGACTGCATGCCATGTGTGGAACAAAACTATTTTTGAGTAACCTGTCTTCACATTATGTAGAAAGCTCACTGGAGATGATTAATATTTGAGTAAGAAATTGTTGTGATTCCTTTCAATTCTGTACTCTGTATTATTATCTGTAGGAAACAGGGAAAGAGACAGAACAGGCATGGTGGTGGCTGACGCCTATAATCCGAGCACTTTGGGAGGCTGAGGTGGGCAGATCCCTTGAGCCCAGGAGTTCGATGTCAGCCTGGGCAACATAGTGAGACCCCATCTCTAAAAAAAAAAAAAATTAGCTGGGCATAGTGGCCTGCATCTATATTTGCAGCTACCTGGGAGGCTGAGGCAGGAGGATTGACTGAGCCCAGGAGATCAAGACTGCAGTGAGCTGTGATCATGCCACTGCACTCCAGCCTGAGCAAAAGAGCAAGACCCTGTCAGAAGGCAGGAAGGAAGGAAGGAAGGATGGAAGGAAGGGAGGGAGGGAGGAGTAACTCAATGGCTGTAATGCCCATTTATTCATTTTTCTGAGGTGTTTTCAGGATTTTATTGCATATCAAGGGAGATGAAAGACAGACATACTCAGATCCCCTGGCTTTGCCACTTGAAGAAAAGCTCCTCCTGACGTATCTTTAGATACTATGTGCTAAGGGATTTTTTGGGTTTTGTTTTGTTTTGAGGGACAATACAAGAAAAAACCAAGTGAACAACATCTCTGCATCTCCCATAAAAACAAAGTTGAAGGCATTATCTCCTCTGTTGCTTGTATAAGATCCATGAAATTAAATCTTTGGCAGTTTAATACTAGGAAAATGCCTGTCTCTCTTGGAAGAGTCAGCAAGTTTCCTTTAATCCAATAAGGAGAATTATCAAACCCGTACGTCCTTTTCTCAGAAGCTAAGAACAAAATTCAGTGTTCGAGGACAGAAATGACATTAAATGGTTGGTGCTGTCCTGTAGAAATAGAATGAGAGCTACATATGTGATTTCTTTCATATATGTCAGTTCAAACTTTTAGTAGTCCCTTTAAAAAGTAAAATGAGTGAAATTAATTTTAATATATCTTATTTAACTTAATACATCCAAAATATTATTTCAACATGCAATTGAAATAAAATCAACAGATAGATTTTAGCTATTTTACATTCTTTTTTAAAAGTGAAGTCTTAGATATCTAGTATGGATTTTGTAGTTATAACATATCTCACAAGCAACAGCTCGAGGACTCGAGAGCTACCAGCAGCTAGTGGCTCCGTATTGGGCAGCAGGTCTAGAAAACTCGTGCAAAGCTCAGCCTATGCATGTGTGCTGTTTCTCTTTCTAGTTTCAGGGGATTTTTACATACAAGTCTTCTACGATGTTACTTCAATATTCTATTGGAAGTTTGCAGGATATGACTTACAAGTAAATACAAAAGTGAATAATCAAATACGTATTGTGAAAGAAAAATAAATCTTGGGGCCTCCAAATCACTAAGCTAAAGGGAAAAGTCAATCTGGGAATGGCTTAGGGCCAACCTGCCTCCTGTTCTATTCCAAGTCATGCCTCTGCTCTTTGGAGAGGCTAAGGACTTCATGAACAAAACACCAAAAGCATTGGCAACAAAAGCCAAAATAGACAAATGGGACCTAATGAAACTCCACAGCTTCTGCACGGCAAAAGAAACAGTCACTAGAGTGAATCGGCAACAAACAGAATGGGAAAAAATTTTTGGAGTTTACCCATCTGACAAAGGGCTGATATCCAGAATTTACAGAGAACTCAAACAGATTTACAGGAAAAAAACAAACAAGCCCACTCAAAAGTGGGCAAAGGATATGAACGGACACTTTACGAAAGAAGACATATATGAGGCCAACAATCATATGAAGAAATGCTCGTCATCGCTGGTCATTAGAGAGATGCAAATCAAAACCACATTGAGATACCATCTCACGCCAGTTAGAATGGCGATCATTAAAAAATCTGGAGACAACAGATGCTGGAGAGAATGTGGAGAAACAGGAACACTTTTACACTGTTGGTGGGAGTGTAAATTAGTTCAACCATTGTGGAAGACAGTGTGGCGATTCCTCAAGGCCTTAGAAATAGAAATTGCATTTGACCCAGAAATCCCATTACTGGGTGTATATCCAAAATCGTTCTACTATAAGGACACATGTACACGAATGTTCATTGCAGCACTGTTTACAATAGCAAAGACCTGGAATCAACCCAAATGCCCATTGATAATAGACTGGATTGGAAAAATGTGGCACATATACACCATGGAATATTATGCAGCAATCAGAAATGATGAGTTTGTGTCATTTGTAGGGACATGGATGAATCTGGAGAACATCATTCTCAGCAAACTGACACAAGAACAGAAAATGAAACACCGCATATTCTCACTCATAGGCGGGTGATGAAAAATGAGAACACATGGACACAGGGAAGGGAGTATTAAACACTGGGGTCTATTGGGGGGCAAAGGGGAGGGCCAGTGGGAGGGGGAGGTGGGGAGGGATAGCCTGGGGAGAAATGCCAAATGTGGGTGAAGGGGAGAAAGGAAGCAAAACACACTGCCATGTATGTACCTACGCAACTGTCTTGCATGTTCTGCTCATGTACCCCCAAACCTAAAATGCAATAAAAAATTAAAAAAAAAAAAGAAACTCAAAAGAATGCAACCTGATTTACCTACGACCTGAAAACCCCTTCCTGGCTCCAAGTCTTCCTGCCTTTGCTTGGAATTGTCTCGCCTTTCCAGACAGAACCAGTGTTCCTCTTGCATATGTTGAGGGATGTCTTATGTTTCTCTAGAATGTTTTATACATTGCGCTCTGACCACCTTGGGCAACATCGTCTGGACCTCCTGAG